AAAAAAAAAAAAAAAAAAAGAAAAGAAAACTGGTAACTGATGCTCACGTCAGAGAGGAGCCAGCCCAGGACTCCAGACCAACGAGCAACTGACCATCAGATCAGAAAGCACAAGCAGGACACCGGGCACAGCACGCTTGTGGCTCCTGCTTCTTCAATGGCTATTTCCTCAGTCAAGTCTAAGTACTTCCTTGTCATAAACTCCAGCAAACAGTTCTGGACACTGTCCCCAGCCTCAGGCTCTGGGAGCCCCTCCTCCCCAGAAGCACCAGGCAGGGACCCTTCTCTGGTACCCGTGGCCCTGGACCCCCCGCTGGTGCTTTGAGACATGCCAGCTCCCGCAGGCCCATCTCTGGCCGCAACGAGGGCCTGGACGGGCACGTGGGAGGGCTTAGCACAAGTGTCCCAACCGAGCACCAAATGCCTTTGCACTCAGATCCCTCCCAGTGGGTGTCACGCAGCTACTCTGCAAACAGGCAGCTTCTGAGGCTGCCAGGGACAGGCTAGACTTTCAGAAGAGGCCAAGGCGGTCATCTGAGTTTGTGTTTCTGCCAGAATCCTAGCAGCACAGGCCCAGATCTCCTAGGACTCTCTAAGCAAGCGTGTGTAGACAGCCCTAAAGGACCCCGGCATTACCTTATGAAAGTGGAAGCTATACGCAACACAACCGTGCATTGTTCATATTTGGGATTACCATCATAGAACACGTCGCGCACCACCGTGGACTCGGACGTGACACAGGCACCGGCCCGTGTGGTGGGGACCCCCAGGTGGAACATGGCTTCGCTGCACAGGAACTCCCGGATGCTTGACCGCAGGACCTTGCGACCGTCGGCCTGTCTGAAACCAAACACAGAGTTCACTACGTGGGCTGGGCAGGAGTCACCCAACACCAAGATTCCAGGCAGCACACGGAAAGGAGGGAACGCATGTAACGTGAGCAGCTCACACGTCCCTGAAAACCGCCCATCCCAGGTGACGTCAGGTGCCTCGTGAGCCTCCAACATCGCCCAGTTCCAGCGATCACACACCCCAGCAGGTTGTCGGCACAGCCTCTGGTAAAAATGGGCCTGAACACACGCAGGAGTCTGTCTTCCTGCCCAGGACAAGGATTCTGCAGCAGAAGCCAAGACTGTGTGACTGTGCAGCAGGGGCAAAGGGCCTGGGGCAGCCCTGCCCCATGGGACACAGTAGCCTTTGTCTGCACCAGGACGGGTGCCCAGGTATAGGCCAGCCAAGGAATGAGCTCCTCTGTGCCTGCCAGAGCCCTCATACCCACAGTGGGAGGAGGCAGGGCAGAGAAGCCAGCTGCCCGCCCCGAAAACCCCGCCCCTTGGGGCTCCAACAGCACCGGCCTCAGGGCACTCAGCCACTTCTGACCCCCAGGTCTCGCATTCCCTTCCCCACACGTCTTCAGGGCCCTGGTCTCCACCTCACGTCCTGCAGAACTGCTGAGGCCAGGGACTCGGACACACATGGGGAAGGGGATGTGAGATCTCATGGCCAGATGACTGCCCTCTTTTTCTTCAGTTATTTTTACTGTGGTAAAATACACACAAAATAAATTTACCATCTTAAACCACTTTTTCTTTTTTGCTTTTTAAAGACAGGGTCTCACTCTTGTCACTTGGCCTGGAGTGCAGTGGCACAAACCTGGCTCACTGCAGCACCACCCTCTCGCCTCAGCCTGCCAAGTAGATGGCAGGACTACAGGCACTGCCGCCAGGCTCGGCTAATTCTTATCTTACTTTTTGTAAAGATGGGGTTTCATTATGTTGCCCACGCTAGTCTTGAACTGCTGGGCTCAAGCGATCCTCTCACCTTGGCCTCTCAAAAGTACGAGGATTACAGGCATGAGCCATTGCACCCGGCCCACCTTAGCCATTTTTAAGTGTACAGATCACTGCTATTAAATACGTTCATAATGTTGCACAACCATCACCCCCATCCATATCCAGAAATCTGTCTTGTGAAATTGAAACTTTGTCCCTATTAAACACTAGCTCCCGATTCCTCTACTCCCTCCAGCCCCTGGCACCTACCATTCTACTTTGTCTCTATGAATGTGGCTCTCTAGGTACCTCAGGTAAGTGGAATCGCACAGGATTTGTCTTTCTGTGACCAGTTTATTTCACTCTGCAGCATGTCCTCAAGGTTCATCCGTGTTGTAGCACGTCAGCATCTTCTTTCTTAAGGATGAATAATATTCCATTCATCTGCTGATAGACACTTGTTCTGCCTTTTGGCTATGAATATCGGTATACAAATGTCTCCCTGAGAGCCTGCTCTTGAAGCAGGACTGCTGAATCACATGGTGATTCTATTTTTAATTATTTGAGGAACTTCTACACTGTTTTCCACAGCACCGTATCATTTTACATTCCCACAGCAGTGCAGAAGGGTTCCAATTTCTCCACAGCCTCAACACTTTTTAACTTACATTTTTTTTTTTTGGTGACAGGGTCTCACTCTGTCACCCAGGGACAGTGGTGCGATCTCGGCTCCCTGCAACCTCCGCCTCCTGGGTTCAAGTGATTCTCCTGTTTCAGCCTCCCAGTCCATTTTTGAATTGTTTTTTTTTTTCCTGTTGTTGAGTTTTGAGAGTTCTCTGTATATTCTGGATATTACTCACTTACCAGATACATGAATTGCAAATATTTCCTCCCATTCTGTGGGCTGCATTTTTACTGTTAATACTGTATTTTTATGCATAATTTTTAAAGTGTTCATGAAGTCCTGTTTGCCTATTTCTTTAGTTGCCTGTGCCTTTTGTGTCACAGCTGAGAAATCACTGCCAAATCCAATGTCATGAAGCATTTTCCCTATTTTCTCTAAGACTTTTAGCTCTTATGCTTAGGTCTTTGGTCCACTCTTCAGTTAACTTTGTTCATGGTGTAGGTAAGGACCCAGCTTCATTCTTTTGCATGAGGATCCAGTTTTCCCAGCACCATTTGTTGAAAAGTCTTTCTCCATCGAATGGTCTCAGCACACTTGTTGACAATTTGCTGACCATATATGTGAAGGTTTATTTCTAGGCTCTTTATTCCATCCCACTGGTCTATGTCTATCCTTATGCCAATGCCATACTGTTTTGCTGATCGCGGCTTTGTAGTAAGTTTTGAAATCAGGAAGCATGAGTCCTCCAACTTTCTTCAAGATTGTTTTGTCCATTCAGGGTCCCTTGAGATTCCATGTGAATTGTATTACTTTTTGAGACAGGGTCTCACTCTGTCATCCAGGCTGGAGTGCAATGGGACAATCACAGCTCACCGTGGCCTTGAATCGTGGGCTCAAGTGAATTCTTCCACTTCAGCCTCCTGAGTAACTGCAATGAGAAGCACACTCCACCATGCCCAGCTAATAAAAAAAACATTTTTTTGAAGAGACAGGGTCTTGCTGTTTCCCCAGGCTGGTCTCCAACTCCTGGCCTCAAGCAGTCCTCCTGCCTTGGCTTCCCAAAGTGCTGGGATTACAGGAGTGAGCCACTGCACCTGACCCCATGTGAATTTTAGAATGAGTTTTTCTATTTTTGCAAAAACTGTCATTGGTATTTTGATAGGGACTGTACTGAATCTCTTCAAAGAGTACTGTTGTCTTTCAAATATAAAGTTATCCAACCCATGAACAAGGGATGTTTCCATTTATGTTTACTTTCTTTCAGTAATGTTTTTCAGTTTTCACCGCTCAAGTCTCTTCCTTCTCACGGCCACTTCAGATGTTAGCCTCAATCTCAGAGAACTGGTGAGGCCAGACACCCCAGGACACTTGTGGGGATGACAGGCAGGGCCTGAGTAAAGGTCAGAGGACTCCTTAATTTTTAGGAGAATATATATTCTAGCATACCTCAGGTCTGAAAGCACTGAGTTAATACTCGAGTCTTCAAATATAAAAACTGTCTTCCAGTGACAGATTACTCAGGCCCCAGGCTGAGCATCTCCACCACGTTCCAAGGGTCAGAAATGCTCCGTGGGCGGCTGGTGCGTCAACACTAAGCAGGTCGCTGGGGGTGGGGAGGGAGGGCCAGGCTGCCCTCAGACACAGAACAGAACGGATGTGGAGACGGGGGAGTGAGGAAGACCCCAGTCTGAGGAGCTTGCTTGGCAGACGGAGCCCCAGGGAAGGGATGCTGAGGGACTGAGGGGCATTTCAGGCACTGGAGGGGGAGGTGATGAGAGCACAAGGAGGGGCCGGATGAGACGCGGCTTTAGCATTTCTCTGAACATAAAATGTACACTTGTGTGTATTGTTTTCCTAGTCATTCCACAAAAGCAGTAAACAATATGGAATAAGTACATTAATTGTTTAGTGAAAAAGAGCAGAACAGACCGAAGTGCTATCTGTACACAAGAGGCAGGTGGCGCGTGCATGGCTCCCCGGTGGGCCTGGCGGCATCTGGACCCAGATCTTGCCTTAGACTACCTGTGTGCCCCCCTCCCCCGAAATCTAAACGATGCCCACCTCACTTCGGGGTTAAAAAGGGCCGCCCGCATGGAAGTCATGGCCAGAGTAGCAGAGCGAGGCTGCTGGACGAAGCGGCCCGCCCCACGGGCGATCGGAGGAAGGCTGGGGACCTGCGGGGTTAGGGTTAGGGTTAGGGTTAGCCTAACCTCTCACCCCGGCTCCCGCCCCTGGACTTGGAGCCCCAGCGAACGTCGGTAAACATGAGTGGCGTCACTGGTGGAGCTGACTCCAAGGTCCTCGGCGGGTTGATGAGCACAGCGAGCGGGCGGCTGCCAGCACCGCGCTCCCGCGGGAGGAGAGGAGGCCCCACTTGGCAGTGGCCTCGGGAC